TTGCCATCAAAGACACCCCGAAAATTATGCAGCAGGCTAGTCCATTTTGCTGAAATCTCATTGCAGCAACTCAAAATGGTACTCTGTAGTTTGTATGGCCCTCCACATGCTTGTATGCATGCCTGACTTCGTTGGGACATGCCTAGGACACAATCTGTTTCATTAGGAGCATTTCCTCCCAGATCTGGACCAGGGAATCATTGTGCTCCTGGACAGTCTGAGGTGCAACCAGGCATCGTCGTATGGACCAAAACATGATATCCCAGAGGTGTTCTATTGTATTTAGGTCAGGCGAGTGTGGGGGGCCCAACGGTATCAATTCCTTCATCCTCTAGCAACTGCCTGCATACTCTTGCCACGAGGTCGGACATTGTCGTGCACCAGGAGGAACCCAAGACCCACTGCACCAGTGTAGAGTCTGACAATGTGTCCAAGGATTTCATACCAATACCTAAAGGCAGTCAGGGTGCCATTGTCTAGCCCAGGGGTGGGCAAACGTTTTGACTTGAGGGCCGCAATGGGTTCATATATTGGACCCGGGGCCGGACCAAGAGTAGATGAATGATGTGTATGTGTCATCCATAGTAAGTATAGTAATTAATCCCCCATATAGTAATTCATCCCCCATATTAAGTCCCCAAGTCCCCCCTGTGTCAATTCACTTACCTTTGCTCCGCACGTTCCTCTCGCCGTATTCCCGCGCCGTTCCGGTGTAGCATGAAAATCTGTCTCCTATGAGGATCTGTCCCCCTCGACGTATCTGCGCATGTGCCAGTTTCAGGCATTAGCAGCCGATCGGCGATCTCCAGCACATGCGCAGATACGTCGAGGGGGGCAGATTTTCATGCTACACCGGTCTTCACGGCGGACTGTGAGAGGAGCCTAGCTCCGCGGGCCGGATTAAAAGGTCCGCCGGGCCGTAATTTGCCCATTGCTGGTCTAGCCTGTAGAGGTTTGCAGATCCCTCCATGGATATCCTATAAAGTGACAGTGAATTTACAAATTTATCCTAATATACAATAACTGTGAAAAATAATCTCTATATACCTTTGTCCTAAAAATGAAAATTATTTTTTTTTTTATATATCCAATCCACTACAAAATAAAGTCCACTCAAATTTATGTCCAATCCACCAACTAAAAAGTCCAAAAATTTCTTCCAACGATGTCCCAAAATATATCCACCTCAAAAAAAAGGAAAAAAATCATAGTGCATTACCCTTTATACATAACAATTTCCATATACTTCATTTAGTGAATATCCGCTAAAAATAGTGAAAAACGTGAATCAGTGAAAAAAAATGAATGAATGTGTATAACACTCAACAGTGCCACATCAACGCCACAGCAAAGTTTAGTGCCACTTCTATTTATAGTAAGGGTACCCTTACCAACTATCCCAAAATAGTATGCTTCAAAAATGCTTCAGGAACTTTCCAGGCTAGCCCTCTCATAGATTTTACTTCAGACCTCTCTTGTTACCACGGTACTCTGATCTCCTCAGACACTCTGTTTGTATTCATCTCCAAGAGAACACACAGGACATAGTATAATACCGCCAGATAGATATATCAAATATGCTTTAATGTAAACTGCTCAGAGTGTCTGAGGAGATCAGAGAGTACCGTGGTAACAAGAGAGGTCTGAAGTAAAATCTATGAGAGGGCTAGCCTGGAAAGTTCCTGAAGCATTTTTGAAGCATACTATTTTGGGATAGTTGGTAAGGGTACCCTTACTATAAATAGAAGTGGCACTAAACTTTGCTGTGGTGTTGATGTGGCACTGGAGTGTTATACACATTCATTATTTTTTTTCACTGATTCACGTTTGTTTCATGTTTTTCACTATATGAAGTATATGGAAATTGTTATGTATAAAGGGTAATGCACTATGTGATTTCCTTTTTTTGGAGGTGGATATATTTTGGGACATCGTTGGAAGAAATTTTTGGACTTTTTAGTTGGTGGATTGGACATAAATTTGAGTGGACTTTATTTTGTAGTGGATTGGATATAAATAAAAAAAAATAATTTTCATTTTTAGGACAAAGGTATATAGAGATTATTTTTCACAGTTATTGTATATTAGGATAAATTTGTAAATTCACTGTCACTTTATATGATCTTGCACAACTTTAGGGGAGGGTGTTGATGGTGTTATAGGGTATTTATTTTATTTTGGAGGTGGTTATTTTTAATCCCTCCATGGATATGCCTCCCCATACCATCACTGACCCACCACCAAAACAGTCATGCTGAATGATATTACAGGCAGTATAACGTTCTCCACGGCTTCTCCAGACCCTCTCACATCTGCCACATGCACTCAGTGTGAACCTGCTCTCATCTGTGAAAAGCACAGGGCGCCAGTGGTGGACCTGCCAATTCTGGTGTTCAATGGCAAATGCCAATCGAGCTCTATGGTGCCAGGCAGTGAGCACAGGACCCACCAGACGACATCGGGACCTCAGGCCTCCCTCATGAAGTCTGTTTGATTATTTCGTCAGACACTCACACTAGTGGCCTGATGGTGGTCATTTTGTAGGGCTCTGGCAGTGCTTACCCAGTTCCTCCTTGCACAAAGGAGAAGATACCAGTCCTGCTGATGGGTTAAAGACAGTCTACTGCCCTGTCCAGCTCTCCTATTGCAACTGCCTGTCTCCTGGAATCTCCTCCCATTCTCTTGAGACACTGCTGCAAGGCAGCAAACCTTCTGGCAATGGATTGTATTGATGTGCCATCCTGGATGTGTTGGACTGCCTGTGCAACCTCTGTAGGGTCCAGGTATTGCCTCATGCTAACAGTAGTGACACTTACCTGAGCCAAATGCAAAACTAGTGAAAATAGACCAAAAATATGAGTAGGGGAAAAATGTCAGTGGCCTCCACCAGTAATATTCCCATTTCGGGGATCGTATCTAGTTTTGGAATGGGGTCTAGGCACATATCTCCAAGGACTAGACACTCCCCTGCCCGGACAATCTCAGTATACCTACCCTATAAACACATCACTGCCTATAAAAGGTTTATATAGTGCCACATCTTAATACTGCCAAAAGCTGTATTCCAGCCCTCTCGAAGAGGCCCCACCACCATCCTGGAAACACCAAAGTGAATGATACCTTTGAGGGACAAAACCATAGACCGCATCCTGGAAACCCTTGATCAATGAGCTTCAAGCATGCAACTTGTAAACATTCTCACTGCAATTACCACCTTCCTCTTAACCTGATCAGCCCATTCACTACTGTACTAGAGCCCCTCTGACTGTTGCTTCAATTCCTACAAAAAAAAAAAAAAAACCCCACACGGCAAACATCAAAAATGCATCCAAAACAAAGCAGAAGCAGCTCAAACACAACCTGCATAGGTGTGAACCTAGGGTTACATGTTGTTCATGCTCAGTCAGTATGGTATTCATTTTCTGTATTCTCCCATCCATGTCCCCACTGCAGTTGGGGACTCTGAAGAGCAGTGTTGGCAGCTAGTGCACATGCTTAGTTTTCAGTGCATTTCTTCCATATCACGGCCCATTGCCTGCCTCCTCCATGGCCCTTAACCATCTAAACACAAGGGTGGGATATTACATCTTTATTGATGGAGGTGCCACCTCCCTGATATTCTAAGGGACATGCTGGAGGGCAGAGGCGTCCCTAGGGTTGGTGTCACCCCTCCAGAGAGGAAGGAGCATTGTGTGTAGCAGTAAAATGAGTATACCTGTGAAGATATGTATTCCACTGAAGCAACTGCGCTTGTGCCAGTTTCATGCCAAAGAAGCTGATCTCCAACTTTAGCACAGAGCTGCCAGTTAACCCCTTACAGGCTGCAAACCACTGAAGCTGATCCTACGGATCACTATGGGTTGCAAGATCAGTTAACCCTGTATAGGTTCAATCTATACAGGGTTAACGGATGTTACAACCCATAGTGATCTGCAGGATCAGCTTCAGCGGTTTGCAGCCTGTAAGGGGTTAACTGTGGCAGCTCTGTGCTAAAGTCGGCGATTGGCTTCTTCGGCCTGAAACCGGCAAATGCGCAGTTGCTTCAGGGGATACATATATTTACGGGTCCAGGATACTCATTTTACCGCTAGACCGCGAGGAAGCGGTCACTGTGCCGGGAATCTGAGATCACCCTAATAACTGGCCAGGACCCACAGAGCCCAGAAGCTCTGCTGGCATCCTACTCCTGCACCCCCTGTGATGGTGTCACCTGGTGCAGCCTGCACCCCCGCAGGACGTTTGAAGGGGCACGACACCCTGTGAACGGCAGAAATCTGCCCACACCATGCCATTGCAAAAAAAAAAAAAAAAAAAAAAAAAAAAAAAAACCCACACATCTTCAAAAGCCAACTCACACAGCACATCACATAATAGACCTCAAGACATCAGGAAAGGGAAGTAAAGAGATAGCAAACAGCCTATGGAATCTTTGTGATAGGGGCACAAGGGAGTTGGCAACCTGGAGTTATGCTTTCAGAATGTTCCAGGAATTAACCAGAAAGATGTTTCCTTCATGGAGACAAGGCTGGATTCAAACTGCTCTTGTGCAATGTTGGCTTTTAACTTTTCTGTAATGTCAAACCCTTGATAAATTTGTTTTTACAATGAAAGACTTAAGCAAAACATCAAGAACAAGCCACATTTATTCACAGTTTTACATAAAGCAAACTACTCCAGAAATATTAAATAACAGTTACTTATACATTATATTAACACTACATTACATACAGCACATTGTACTGCAGAGCTATACTAAATAGAATAAATGTATCTTTCTTGCAACACACATTTCCAGTACCAGAACCATTGGTAATTCAGACCAATTTCCAGTCTTTAAACCTTCAGTCTACTGACCACCTGTGCACAGAAGAGACTGTTTGTGGGATCAATAGAGAGCAGACTGTGTCCATTGGACCAATTCTAAAAGCACTCTAAACACTTAGAGTTTCCAGTTCGTGAGCCAAAGCAGAATGACAATTTTAAGCCTCCATAAAGACAGCTCAAAATGAAAGCAATGTCTTGTGGATAATTTCAGTGCACTCCTGGATCTCCTCTTCATTAATAGTCAGAGGGGGTGCCAGTCTGATGATATCTCCATGTGTGGGTTTGGCCAAGAGTCCGTTATCACGGAGCCGGAGGCACACTTTCCAGGCATCGCAGTCTGAAAAGTAAAACAAGTGGAGCTAGTCAGCATTCTATATGTGGAAGTCAAAATTACCTGCAACATACAGTAAGAGCACCTTAACTGGTAAAGTCCAAGGAGTACTAGCTCCATCAACCCTCAGATTCATACTAAAAGCTAAAAAGCAAGACCTGAGTCAATAGTTTTAGGAACTGTGCTTCTGCTTTGGAGGTGTCACGATATGGGTCTCTTCCAGTCCCAGTTAATTCCTTTATTAATCCCTCCTGGCCATAGGGAGAGCATCCTCCAATTAGTATTCACTCCTGTGTGCCAAAGGCCCCTAGCTGTAATTAACTCGCCCCTCCACAAAAGGTCCCAAATTCAATTAGTGCCTTACTTTTGTATTAATGTATTTTCCCCACTGTTACACAGCTGCAAATTCAATTGAATTTCAGTGTCCAGCCTGTCCAACCAGTCCTGTCTGTTTACAGCTACAAATTAAATTACTGTAGTTCCATTCCTGTCCATTCTCTTCATTGTCACCTGCTAATGACCCCCCCCCCCCCCTCCACCTCTCGTCCTGCTCAGGGGGTTTAAGAGGCCAGTGCTGGTCTCTTGTTCCATTCTGCATACAGTCACTAAGGGATCCCAGCTGCGGCAGGACGATAGTGGCCAGACTCTGCCTAAGCCCCATTGGAGCAGGGGGACCCCAGAAGCTACATCAGCCCCTGCCCGAGACTACCACACCTGCTCTTCCTGAGACTACCACACCAGCTCTGCGTGAGTATATGGTTGCCCGGTGTTATCTGACTATTTATGAACTGCTGTAGAGACTTTAACTTTGCTTTGGATTACAAGTATTTTGGACTCTCTTTCTGCACTACTCCCCATTGAGTGACTGTCGTCTGTTCTAATAAAGCTTTAACGGTGACATCTACTCTGTGTTCTGTCCTGCCTACGCTCCGTCACAGGAGGCATTTCCTAGCTTCCAAAGCATGTAGTCCATTAAAACTGCCTGACATTGCAGCTGTGATCAGTGATCACAGCTGTACAATGTTTTGTGGGCACTTTTGTCTGAAAATGTAACGTTTTTCCAAAAGGTAGAGTTGGCCATTAACTTCCTAGTTAATGGTAGAACAAAGGTTGCATCTAAGCCCCTTGGAAGTCCATTGGGCCAGTAGGCTCTTATCCAAGTTGCCTACCTGACAGAGGGAAACTGTTGTTCAAATACATTGAAATGGTTTCCATGTGTGTAATGAAACAATCTTATCACAATGTATAGCAACTTTACGCTAATTTTTTATAGCTATATGGTAAGAATGGAACAAAAAGAATTGGATAATACTCAGCACAAATTTTATCAGCTTAGTATACAGCCAGGAACACAGTGGGGAATTTATTTGACCCCCTGCAAATGTTTTACGTTTGCCCACTTACAAAGGAATGAAGGGTCTATAATTTATTTTTTTTATCAGATGTTGTTTAAAATGACAGAATATCAACCAAAAATCCAGAAAAAAAAAAAAAAAAAAAAAAACACATAATACAAAATGTTATAAATTGAGTTGCAGTTCAGTGAGTAAAATAAGTATTCGATCCCCTACCAATCAACAATAATTCTGGCTCCGACAGACTGGCTATGTGCTCATGTGTTACACAGATTAGTCCTGTCAATTTAAGTTGCTCCTCAAGAAGGCACTTGTACAGGCCCATCTAAAGTTTGCCAATGAACAGCTAAATGATTCAGAGGATTGGGAGAAAGTGCTGTAGTCAGATGAGACAAAAATATTTGAGCTCTTTAGCATCAACTTGACTAGTCGTGTTTGGAGGAAGAAAAAAAATGCTGACTATTACCCCAAGAACACCACCCCTAGAGTCAAGTACAGAGGTGGAAACATACTTTGGAGCCATTTATCTGCTAAAAAGGTAAGGACAACTTTGCTGCATTGAGGGGCCAAATGGATGGGGCCATGCATTGTAAAATCTTGAATGAGAACCTTTTTACCCAGAACACTGAAAATGGGTCTTGGATGGGTCTTCCAGCATAATAACCCAACACATACCGCCAAGGCAACAAAGGAGTGGCTCAAGAAAAAGCACATTAACCTACCTGGCGGTATTCCCGAGTGTAGCTCGGGGTAAAGTTTCAGTACTAAAAACGGTAACCCCGAGCTACACTCGGGCTTACCATACAGCGTTGCTCAGGGTGTCCCTGCAGCGCTTACCTTGTCCTTCGCTCCTGCGATGTGTCCCCTGCCATCTCCTCCGGCATCCGTGTTCCGGTCCCTGTGACGTCAGGACGTACGGGCGCCGGAAACGGCGGCAAATTTGAAATTTTTAAAAAAAGTCATTTTTAAAAAAAAATTATTATATAGTAAAACATTGCTGTTTCAATGCATTTCACATATATTTTGTCCCTACTGCTTTGTCCTGTGCCCTGCCTACATTTTGACTGTTCTTTCTGCCTGGAAACTTAGAAAAGTCCATGGCATCCAAAAAGCATCCCTTTATGTCAAAAGCAGTTTTTTAGACCAGCTAGAGAACAGCGATAGTAAATTAGAACCACTTGCAGAATTGAGTGATAATGATTTGTGGGGAAATTCGTCAGACACTGAAAACGATTTTGCGACTTTGCTCAGCGATGTGCGAATTTGCCTCTGTATTTCAAATTTCAATGTTTTTGGTTTGATTATATTATTGAATTAAATTATAATTTATGATTTCGTGTTTCAAGTTTTATCATATCCGGAATGTTTACTAGACTTCGGACAGATTTCAGTGAGTTATTCCTAAAAATTACAGCCTACAATAAAAAAAAAACTACATATTTCCATGCAAAAAAATGGTACCGCTTTCAGCACCAAAAATCAGAAATAATCATACCGCCAGGGAGGTTAAGGTCATGGAGTGGCCTAGACAGTCTCCAGACCTTAATCCTATAGAAATGTTATGGAGGGAGCTGAAACTTCGGGTTGCCAAGAGACAGCCAAGAAACCTTAACGATTTAGAGAAGATCTAAGGAGTGGATCAAAATCCCTCCTGAGCTGTGTGCAAACCTGGTAACTAACACATCTTACCTCTCTGCCTGCCAACACTATTTTCTCCACCAAGTCATGTTTTGCTTGGGGATCAAATACTTATTGTAAACAAAGTTGCAGTTCCGCGAGTAATATTTGTATTGTGTGTTTTTTCTGGATTTTAGTTGATATTCTGTCTCCATCATTTAAAATACACCTATGATAAAAATTATAGACCCTTCATTTCTTTGTAAGTGGGCAAACTTACAAAATCTGCAGGGGATCAAATTCATTTTCCCCACTGTGTACATGAAGCTTTAGAAACAATATCTGGGGCAACCTATTATAGCATCAGTATGGAGATTCACAGGACCTGAAGTTGCTTTATGGGATGTATGTGACAATATGAACTGTACTTACCTTTAGTTTGTTTTATGACAATGGCATTAAGTAAACCCTTTCCTCTGACAGCTGTCACTATGTCTGATGGCGCCTTCATAAGCTCTGCTCTCAGCAGCTCCCCCATTAATCTGGCATTCTCAGCCAACTTCTCCTCCTCCTCTATCACCTGTAAACAAGCAGCATTGTAAGATCTCCAGTTTTGTTACCAATGACAGCAAGCACATTTGAAGTCTACAGTTCCAAAGAAGGTTCCAGCGCAACGGGTGTAGGCTCAGTACTTGCCTCTAGAGCAGCCATTGCCACACGGCAAGCTAATGGATTTCCCCCATAGGTAGATCCATGTTCTCCTGGCTTGATTGTGAGCATAACCTCATCATCACAAAGAGCAGCAGAGACCTAATAAGAGAATGAAAATTAAAGGCACAAATCTGAACAACATCGGCAGATAATACATGTCTTCATATACAGGAGGAGTCCACTTCAGAACTAAGGAAAATTATGCATATGACAGAGCTGATGCCAACTCTCACATTTTCAAGGGGTTCAAAGTTATTTGAGAATCTAGACCCCAATGATCTGCTCAGCCTGATTTACCAGGATGGCCGCTTACTGTACCATGACCAATCCGATCAACCTTTAAAAAAAAAAAAAAATTCTAGCAAAATACTCCCGATCTACACTGATTCAGGATACACAGTGAAGTCATTACATAAACATCTACAAAAGCCAGCCTTCTGCTCCCAATGAATATCTACATTGCCCAATTCAAAAACTTGGGAAATCTGTTGTCCATGGCTAGGGGGGAAAAAAAAAAAAAAAAAAAAAAAAAAATAGACACTTTGTTGTGGTGGTTATTGGGATGTTCTATGGTTCCTTGAAAGGTTGTAAAATCTTGATGTGCATACGAGTTAAGGCTGCACATGTGGATATAACCTTGCAAGGTCAAGGGCCTTCTTTAACGTGACCATGTTTGGTAAACTGAGAGTCAAGAACATAGTCCAAATATTGACTACATCTGAAGTAACTATTTATTAAAAGTCACTTAACAGGCCAACATGTCTCAGGGGTACACTGGTACTCCTTTTAGGGATGTAGCATACGAAAAGCCAGAATACAGAAAGGATAGTTTTACCGACTTCAGAAATGAATGGTCTTTAAAAGGCCAACTTTGCCTTCACCCAAGACATGGTCTCTTCAGAGCAGATCCCCCTCAAGGGCTTAGGGAACTGAGTGGTCCTGTTTTGGAATACGGGAGCCTAAAAGGCCTTGCAGCAGTAAGGTCACCACCATGTATGGGGCCCAAAGATGGCAAATTTAGCTGCCTTAGCCTTGGTTTTTACCAGCTTCAGAAACGTACAGAACACCAACAAAAAAGCGTTTGTAAGCTTTTTTATTTTCCTTAAAGATTAGAAAATTGTTTCTATAGGATAAGTTCTATATACTACATAAAGTCACAAGTACCTACCGGATACACTCCACCTGACAAGGCTTTTCCAAGGATCACAATATCTGGCCGAATATCCTCATGGTCTACAGCAAGCATCTTCCCAGTTCTGGCCAATCCAGTCTGTACCTCATCAGCAATGAACAGAACCTGAAGGAGAAATATAAGTGAGGTATAAATCACATGTAACAGCAAACAGAACCTTCACCCACAGGTCTGCATCCACTTACATTATATGCTGAACACAGCTGTCTCACGCCGGTCAGGTAGCCATCATCAGGAACGATGACACCAGCTTCACCTTGAATAGGCTCAACCATAAAAGCTGCCACATTGGGGTCCTGCAAAGCTCGCTAGGAGGCAGAACAAATACAACTTTGAAATAAAGAAAAAAAAAAAAAAAAAACACACAAAAAAAAAAAAAAGAATTTCAATACCTAAACCCTACACCCCTTTGCTCCATTACTGACATACAAAGGGGGTACAGTTCTAATATAGATGAACTCCAGGCAGATATACAATACCTCTGCCTAATCCAGTCACGCATTAAACAAAGAAAAATCATTGTACTTTATGTGCAGCTATCATAAGCACCAGGGTATTTATCAAAGATTCCTGTGGATGAGAACTCTGAACCAATCTATAGCTCTTCACAGTGCTGCATATCTAACATGGAGCATCCTTGACAGGAGAAGACAGAAATTACTTTTGTGGCTCCCTGCTATCCAATCACATGCTGGGGTCACCATTACAAATATGACCAACTCACTAACGTGACAAAATTTTATATATTCACATTGAACATAAAACTCTTAATGATCCTTATCCTGGGGCGTTGGCCTGTTAAATTTTTAAAAAAAAAAAAACAAAAAAAAAAAAAAAAAAAAAACTACCCACACATGACAGGTGCCCCTGAAAGCAGTGTTGAACACAAGCATACATTAGGCCTTTCAAATTCCAGCCCAACAGAAGCCCAGTGGAAATCTTCCTATGGGGTACCCATTTCAGTTACAGTCAAGTAGAATTCCCATTCTATTGTTATCTCTGGGGCAGGGACTGAAGGCAGATCTCTCCCATGGGAACACAAATTAAAATCGGAGACTGGGAAAAGGTTAGATAGAACCCTTTCTAGAATCCAGTTTTGGCAGTAGTTCTATTTTAACTGCCATGTTTTGACAAGTTTGAAGAGTCAACAATGCATGAAAGAAATAAGCTGCTAAGCAAACCAAACATGTCAGATGATTCCATCATACTAAGCATCAGTTTGCACATGACATGGTGATCAATATTTACCAGTCCCCCCTCCCCCCCAAAAAAATTAGCTTCTGAGATCTTGAATGTCAAAGGGTAAGTAGAAATTTAGGCAAAATAATCTGGATAGAGTAAGGAAGGGTTATAATCCTTGTCAGATTTATCCCCATAGCCAAAAAAGGAAGTGAGGAAATCCCTGCAAATTGGGGGAATTCCTTGGGCCCCCAGGTCATCAAACTAGAATCCCCATTGGAAGTTATTTTGGGGACAATCCAAATGTTATTTCTTCACTTTTAATGATAAAACAGAACAAAGATAAAGCTCCCTAACGGGGGGGGGGGGGGGGGAAACTTGACAGGTGTTCTAATCCTATCTCCACCATCTAAATATAAAAAAAAAAAAAGTTTTGCCTTCAGTTCTACATTAACCTCTCCATGCCGAGCGTATGCAAATATTCCAGTACGCCCTCTGCACTCCCAGCACGTGTCGGCGTACCACGGAAAGGTCCCAATCCCTCCTTGCGATCGGGACCTTTCCAATCATGTGACCGCCGTGACATCCAATCACGGCGGTCACATGACCCTAAACCCCATCCCACCTCCCAACATCAGAAACCCCTTAAAGGGCTGGGAGGCGCTGGATTGAAGGTTAAGGAAGCTGTAAACCAGAACAAAAAAAAGCAGATAACTGGTTGCTTACCTCAAGGGCAGGGAGGTCATTATATGGGATTACTTTAAATCCAGGCATAAATGGTCCAAAACCCTCATAGCTGGAAGGGTCTGTGGAGGCAGATATAGCAGACATAGTCCTGCCCCAGAAGTTGCCAGCTGAAAGAATGAACATAATGGTTTGAAAAATGCAGCTTGTGTTTAATCTTAAAGATAAAAATGGCAGTTAAGACCATTCAAATACAACACCAATTTGGTGTCTGCGTGACATGGTGGCAAGATATGAGCACAATTTAAGACTACAGTCTGCTTGGATTTAAAAAAAAAAAAAAAAAAAAAAAACTAATACCTTGAGATGAATTCAGAAAGCACAGCACTAGCCTACCAAAGCCTGCCATACATGGCTTGAATTTCATTCAATTACTGATCATTTGGGCAAAATTCAAGCCATGGGAGGCCCTGTTGACATGAAAGTGACAAGCATTTTATCACATCTGGGTTCATAGCTGTCATTCCCAGCCACTGTAGCTGGGGAAGCTGCTAATAAAGTCAGTGAAAATGCTTGTTGCTTCCAGGTTCATTAGTCAGAGGATATGGGAAACAGGTGCTCCTCTCTCTCCATCCTAATAGCTTACAGTGGTCCCAGGCTGCAAGGTGGAAATGAGCCTGGAAACTATGGTGGGCAGCACCTCTACTGTGCAATAAGTGATCAGGTGGCCCTATAGTCGCCCAGATCACGTTTACTGGGAAGTCAAATGCCAGCTGAAAAATATATACCAAACTCACAGCTACAAGCTTTTTTTAAACAATTGAAGTCCTGGTTGTTTACATATTTACAAATCAGGCCTGTACTGATATAAAGTACTGTGTGAACTGATGGCTCTATATACAAGCACCTGTAATAAAATATAGGCCTGTGTTAATCCACCTGCTGGGAGTGGCTTTTGGCACCCTCTCTCAGTCTAGTCAACTAGGATGACTAATTGAGTCATAGGGATTTACCAAGTCCTGCAAGCTTCAAAAGGCAACATTGAGACCAAGACATGAACCAGTTAAACTATGTTAAACGGAAATTTGGAGCAGGTTTACAAACTCGTAAGTGGGCCCACGTACACCACAATGTGCACAAAAGACATGCATGGATAAACACTACATGCATTTTCTGTTTTAGTACAATTGTAATGCTCCTTGACATCTATTGATGTGATGAAATTAGGAACCTACACTAACTTGCATTTGTTTTACATACATTCATGTGTACTGTAGTAAAACATTTACATTTTCTCATTACACATCACTGCAGCATATAGGAAACCATCCCCCCAGTGCCCTGGCAATGAACTGCATTGATTATATAGAAAGACGCCTGTGCACGTGAATTAGTTCTACATAATGATTTTTGGATAGAGACGGCCATTTCTGGCACCAGGATGTCAACATGGGACCTGCATACAACAAGGTGGCTGGTGCTTGATGAGCTGCAGAATATGGGGTTAATTGTTGGGGTACAAGGTTTAAATTTAAATGTTCCATATAAGCTTTAAGTTGGAGTTCAGGAAGGGTTAAATGTGAAGGAAAAAAGGATGGCTCAGGGTTGACTACCTACTCTGGCAGTGGCATATCCATGGGTGCAAAGTGTGCACTGCACATTGGCCCTGAGGGAGGTGGTGCCCAGTGGGAAAACTCATGCAGTTTGGACAAGGAAGGACATGCTATTCTTTGCAGCGCAATTTGCGTCCACACATTTTGTATTGACGCAAATTGTATCGCAAAGTATCAGTACTCAAAGAAAAAAAATTGTATTTGTGCATCCCTAGTTATAACACTTACATTTTTTGCCATCTGTTCAATTGGGGAGATTTACCTTCACTTTCTGTCCCATAGACAAAACAGAAGAGGAAATCCCTGCAAGTTAAAAAAGGAATCCATTGGGCCCCCAGGTCACCAGAACTAGTGTCCTCGATGCATTGGACGATTTCTCTATTACAGTATTGGGGACATCCCAAAATTTAGAATTTGTTTACTTTTGATCATGATAAACGGGACAAAGGGCGAGTCCAAAACTACAAGAGTTTTGTCTTTACGCATTTCAGATACTTCTATTGCACCGTCAATTTACACAGCAACTTACATATATTGGGCATTCACATCAGTTCCTACCTTCAAGGAGTTTACAATCCAACATGCCCAACTCATTCATACACATACTAGGACAAGAATTAGACAGGAGCCAATTAACCTGCCGCATGTGAGGAAACCCACGGAGGCACAGGGAGAACATGCAAACTCCAGGCAGGTAGTGCAGTGGCTGGGATTCAAACTGATGACCATAGTGCTGCCATGCTGAAATGCCAACCATGTAGCCATGGTGCTGCCCACTTCAGGCATGGAAGGATTATATTAGACATTTTCGTGTGACTTTCCCCACTTAGGGGAACTTCAGAGATGTGTTTTTGCTCCAGGAGCCTGTGCCAAACCCCAACAGCAGTGGACTCCTGACAGTAAGATCAATGTATGGTGGTGTTCTAGCATCTTGTATAATTATCAGCAGGATTTTCTGCCATAAGCCAAAGTGAGAAACCATCTCAGGACACCCTCTATTGATTATATAAGAGGAAGTTCTTTTGACTAGTTCTAGAGCAGGCCATTTCCCAGTGCCTATACTAAAACCTACAAAGGCACTGTGGCACATAAGATGTCACTGGAATGTCCCAGTGTGCAACCTACCTGCAAATATAATCTGAGCCTTGTACTTGGGAATGCCTTTCACAGTGTATGCCCATTTTCGGGCCAATTTGCAGGCCGTTTCACCACCTTCAACACCTAAAGAAAAAAATTAATTTTTTTAGTCAATTGATACGTTCACATCTGCCAACTTCACCCTTCTGTCTCTTCAACCTGCTGCAATTGAAATGTCAGACCAAGGACATAAGCCCGTAATTGATCATTGCCCAAGCACCAGTTTAATAATTGTTCCCAACTGTCCCCTATTTGGAACAAAGTCCCTCTTTCCTCCTTAATGGACTCACCTATAAGGTTTTATATAAAGTGTACGTTGTTTCAAAGAGGGTTCCCCAGTGCCAAGCCTTTCATCCAATTTCTAAATAGCTGCATTTGAATTACTAAGTCATGCAAACACTGTATCCATATGAAATAGTTTTTTCTTTGAGACAGCTTTTTACAGGTGGAATTTAATCACCATAGGTTTACTTTTTTTGCGCTATAAAAACGAAAGAAAGCCTGAAAATTTAGAAAAAAAAGTGCGTTTTCTCTAGTTTGTTATAAAATTTTGCAGCCAAGTAATTTTTACATTTTAATTAAAAAAATAATATATACTGCTACATTTGATAAAAAGCCCAAATCAGTGTATATTTGGTCTTTGTGAAAGTCTACAAGCTATGTTACCAATCATTGAAAATTGATCACCCCTGATGTACTAACGGACTCATTTCTTGGGGCCCCCCCAACATGCCAGAACAGTACAAATACCTCCCAAATGACCCCTTTTTGGAAAATACAGTCTGAGGTATTCCATATGAGACATGGCAAGTTTTTTGAAGTTGTAATTTTTTTCCACAATTCTTTGGAAAAATAAAATGTGTTTTTTTCCCCCTCAAAAATGTCATTAAGTTCTCACACATGGCATAGGCATACTTGCAACTACACCCGAAAAACACACATTCTCCCAAGTATGGCGATACCACAAGCAAGACTCACAGCCTAGCCACAGAGGCCCAACATCCAAGGAGAACCTTCAGGCATTATCAACTTTTAGACCAGGCCTTCTGGCACTTTGTTTACAAGTAAAAATCTGTACTTTTGCTAGAACTTAGAACCCTCAAACATTATTTAACATGGGCTCTAGATTGTAAAATGTTGTGTTTTGCAAATTTTTATGTCACCACATTTGTGCAGTTTTACACTAACGCAAAAATACACTAACATTTTAACCACTTGTCTACTGAGCACCTTTACCCCCTTCATGCCCAGGACAATTTTCAGCGCTGTCGCACTTGGACAATTGCACGATCATGCAACACTATACCCATATCAAATTTTGCTTCCCCCCCCCCCCCCCACACACACAAATAGAGCTTTTTGGTGATATTTAATCGCCACTGGGCATTTTATCTTGGCACTATAAACAAAGAAAATTAAAAGTTGTTTCAATTATAAAATTTTGCCAACAGGTAATTTCTCTCAATCGATGAGGTGGCACTGATCATCAGTGCCGATCTGCTATGTTACAGCTGTGACAGCATGAGGAAAGTGCTGCCGATAACTGGCAATATTATTTACTCAGTGATCTGCTGTGTCATTGAACACAGCTAATCACGTGGTAAAAGGCCGCTGTGATTGGCCTTTTATCTCATCACATGATCAGCTGTTTCCATAGGACACCGCTATCAATGAGATCGGGTGTGCGCTGCTGGTTGTGTGCAGGAGAGTGTCATAAGACACCTTTCCAGAACTGGACAATCACGCTCTAGCCATCATTTGGCTATAGTGCAGTTACCAAGTGGATATAGCACACAAAAATACCCAATTTTTTGGTAAAAAATATAAAGTGTGTTGCGCCGAGTATATAGATTCCAAACATGTCATGGTTTTTTTTTTTTTGGCGCTCGCTTGTGAAATGGCACCAAACATTTGTATTTAAAAATCTCTATAGACAATGCTTTATAAGGCTTTACAGGTTACTTGTTTAGAGTTAGAGGAGGTCTGGTGCTAGAATTATTGCTCTGATTGTGACAATATCTTGTGTGGTGCAATTGCAGTTTATGTATGGATATGGGACCAATGCATGTGTTCACCTTTGCATGCGAGCATGGAGCAAGTGTGTGACCCATCACTCAGTGTAAAATCAGCGCGCCCGTGTCCCAATCTGCCACCACAGGATCCTGCCGCGCAAGGTGCGCATTCTTACAGGAAGTTCAGGTACGTCCACTCAGCAGGAAAGTTCCCACCCAGCTGTTAATGTGCAGTGGCCAGGTGAAAAGCCGTTTAAGGGCATGCCCAATGCCTACATACTTTTAATAGGCGTCCCTTGTTCCCATCTTAAAAAGTCAAGAGGTATGGTTTAACCAATTTCTGACCGGGCTATAGCTGAAAGTGCTACAGTGCAGTTGGCTGTTTCTGGGAGGGAGTCTTGATGTCCCCCCAGAGCACATCAGGAGTGCTCTGTAATTGAAGTGTCCTTTGGACACAGCTGTTCAGAAAGGTAAAGAGACAATCACAGTGGTCATGTGATCAGCTGTGTCCAATCACAGCTGATCAGTGTAAATAGACTCGCTGGTTATTGGCAGGAAGTCTTCTCACACTGACAGCGTGAGAAGAGAGCCAGTAACCAGAGACCCTCAGGGAAACATCTACACTAATAATCAGGGCAAGTGCAATCAGTGGCGCCCCACAAGTGCAATCAGTGGCGCCCCACAAGTGCAATCAGTGGCGCCCCACAAGTGCAATCAGTGGCGCCCCGCAAGTGCAATCAGTGGCGCCCCACAAGTGCAATCAGTGGCGCCCCACAAGTGCAATCAGTGGCGCCCCACAAGTGCAATCAGTGGCGCCCCACAAGTGCAATCAGTGGCGCCCCACAAGTGCAATCAGTGGCGCCCCACAAGTGCAATCAGTGGCGCCCCACAAGTGCAATCAGTGGCGCCCCACAAGTGCAATCAGTGGCGCCCCACAAGTGCAATCAGTGGCGCCCCGCTAAAAAATTCCTCATTTGCAAAACAGTAGTGATCGAATACCACCAAAAAGAAAAACAAATGGCTACAGTGATGCACAACTGCACATTTAAAGTGTGACAACACTCAAAGCTGAAAATTGGCCTGCACAGGAAATGGGTGAAAGTGCCCAGTAGGCAAGAGTTTTTGCAAAATTCCAGCATTACCTGTGTTCATAGGGAGAACTTTGTTGTAGTTGAATAGTTTTGTCACGTACTCTTCATATTCCCCAAGGACATCGTTGTAGAAAGCCCTAGAAGTAAGTGTCAGTTTATCTGCTTGAGACTTCAAAGCATCAACAATCTTGGGATGACAGTGCCCCTGGTTCACAGCACTGTACGCACTCAGGAAGTCAAAATACCTCCGGCCTTCCACATCCCACACATACACACCTAGAACGGAAAGATTTGTGTTTAGTAATATGGAGATTTAAAGTTACCCAACTTGCACATATAATCCACATATGTCAAAAGTAGACATTGATAATCAAAAAACTGTACCATCAGCAGCAACTAGTCAGTGGCCACTGGGCCATTTCCAGCATTATATATTATAATTAATTTTTAGATATTAGAAGGGCTCCTACTATTCTAGAACCCATGAATAAAAAAAAAAAAAGCAAGGGTAACAAGGATGGGCAAACACTGCTTTTTAACTGCAAATTTCTGGATACATTTTGCACTAACTGGCAAGTCTAGCAGAGGTGGCTATTGGGTGGACAAATGCAGGTTCAACTTGTAGACCTGCAGACTGGGAGAGTATTTTATACCTCCATGCCTCTGCTACAAAGGTGTAGCATGCTGGCCCCAGACCCTTATAGCCACTTGCATCTGGATGGCTGCTCATGGATTTAGCCTAGTACATTGTACTGGTTACTGAATGGTGTAATGCTATAAGCTACAGATCTGTTTTTGTAAGCAGAAGAGAGCAGCTTAACACTACGCTTGCTTCAAAACTTATGGAATACCTTCTGGAAACTTGAAGTGAGGGGGAATACGGGAACGGCCATTACTTGGAGCAAATACTGACAAACTTGATATCCATACATGCTCCAGGTCTCAGACTCAAAATATTGTAGCCACTGAATTAGCATGAAAATCTGTAATTAACCAGGAGAGGTAGGCAATGGTAGACTAAAGTTACTTTGAAGACCAATGCACAAGATCAAACAATAAGTAGCATTTTCATAGGGTAATGAATTTGCAATCTAAAAGCACATGGTAAGCAGCAATTTCAAAGCCTTTAGCTTGCTGCAGTAACTGATGTTCGTAGAATGGTAAACTATAGGTAATATTAGAGAACAAAGACCAACCTTTTCCTCTTTCCAGAGCAACAGGCAGAGGGTGGTAGTTGTGAGCCCCGTACTTTGCTTCTCTTTCATATACATATTCTGAGTTTAATGGTTCTTCCACAGGATTTTCAGTGGCTGCAGGTCCAGCTGAGCTCATAGAAGCCCGAAGGTTGCAGAGAGCACCCATAGTGCGTGTTTGGACAAGTTTGGAGAACATCTTGGAAAGGCTAAGCAGATCTCACTACCTGCATGGAAAAAAAAAATCTCTAAAATCAGCAGCAATGCCTTTTGTGTTTGCAGTAGTGTAACCAATAGCATGAATGCAGCCAACCTATGTAGCCTTCCTCCCCCAAATCATTCACAACTATTTGTGCACAATAATGACCATGAAAACAGCCAAAAACAAGATAAGCCTGCTGGGTCAACACTTCGCAACATCATTTTGGCTTGGATTGTTTACGTGAACCTTTCAGGGTTGTTCTGATGCAACTGCTTTGTCACATTTCCAACTACACATCCTGAGCTGACTATGCACAACATTGACATTTAGGAAGGCCAGTTTGACAAGAAACCAGAAAATTTGTTAAAAAAAAAAATACACACACCAGATTAAATGTAATGTTAAAGCAGCTCAGGATGCAGGAAGTGTCAGGATATCTCAAGGGCTATACATACAGCTTTCCATGTATGCTCTTGTTCAGGGATTTAAAACACATGTAAAACCAATCACCAACCCAATAATTATGTGCAAATAAGTCTAAGATTTTTTTTTTTAGATCTTCTGCTTAGGATACATAACAGACTGCAGGGGTCTATATAATGCAGAGAGCTGTAGTCAGTGCAGGGTTTAGAAGTACATGACAGAACAGGGTCCAGGAGTACATGATGTACAGAACGTAGGGAACAGGCATGTGTAATTCATAGTAAGAGTCAGCAATACAAAACAGAGTGCAGGAGTCAAGAGTGTATCCCAAACGCACAGTGTAGGGGTAAGAAAAACAGGCTCCTATGGGATCCCAACAGCGCCAGAATATGGATCCCAACAGCGCCAGAATATGGGATCCCAACAGCGCCAGAATATGGATCCCAACAGCGCCAGAATATGGGATCCCAACAGCGCCAGAAACAGCGCCAGAATATGGGATCCCACAGCGCCAGAATAGATCCCAACAGCGCCAGAATATGGATCCCAACAGGAATTTCTTTTCTAGACCTTACAAACTAATCTCAGAAACAAATCATGCAATTGTTAACAAATAGAACTAATCCATCAAAATCACAGAAACTCCTTTACAAAGTTCACAGAATAATCTTCCAAAAACCATGTTTGTTTGGGAAAGGCTAAGAAAAGGGCAAACCGTCTTCCAGCTGACAGCTAAATACATGTAAACACAATTCTTGGCCTGTGGACTTCAGGGATTTGATTGGTACAGAGAGCCACCACCCCAGGCACACCTCTAGCGGTGTATGCAAGGTCATAAGTGTATACATATTATTGGAACTCCTGTCACCACAGCCAGAACTTGCACTCAACACATTATAGGAATTTTCCATCACTGTTAACAAAAGCACCTTGTTTGAGCCTGAAAGCATACCTCTCATGTAAAAAGTCAAGATATTTTTTTGCCATGTCCTAGCTGCAGAGATTTACCCCCCCATTTGTTAAGGTGAACACTGTCCCCTAGACAGTTATGGCAAATCATCATAGGGGATAGAACCCTCCCTTTGCCACTTTAGTTTGATTTAGGAAGATTTTACTTCACTTCCTGTTCCATACTCAAAACAGGAAGAGAAGAAATCTCTTGCCATCACCAGAATTAGTGTCCCCAATAGAACATTTCCCCTCCATTACTGTTCAGGCAGCATCTCAAGATTTGGGATCTACCACATCCTTCACTCCCCATGTAGGCGGCACTCCCTCACATAGCAGTAGACTGCCCTCAGCATCATAGAGTCCAGTGCAGAGCTATGGACCCTCCATTTGTATTGATGTCAGAACCTTAGACTGCTGGAGCATAGGGGAGAAGACTGCAGGGATAATCGAGCAGTGCAGGGAAAGTAAATTACGTTCACAAGTCCTAGACTTGAACAAGCAATTAACCTTTGCAGTGTTAGGCACAGCCCCACCTGAGGCATAATTTAGGTTTCCCAGAGTTGGGCTTTAAATCCAAGGCTGTCATCTTAGGAACTGTTGCACTACCCATATAAAAATGTAAATGCATTAGCTACCTTTTACAATGAAAGTAGTTCTAAAGCTTTACCCTAATGCATTCGGGTAAAGACCCCCAGTGACCAGCATCCCACCCAGCCCCACTTTACCGGAGCCCGATCTCAATCCAGCAATGTGAACAAGAGCAGCATCTCATTCACCTCTCTACTCACTGGCAGATGGGTGTGAGAGCCATTGGCTCCTGCTGCAGTCAATCAAATCCTGTGACAAGGAAACAGGGGGCAAGGCCAAGCACCGTTGTGGGTCTAGAATCAGGCAGTGTGGCTTGGGATCGAGCCTACAAGACTGCCCCATAGCAAGCAGCTTGGGGGCACTTGCCAAAGAGGAGTCAGGAACACCCAGAAACCTTATCTGCAATGTCCTATTGAAGTAGTGATGTCATGTTTCACATGACATCATATGCCTTTAAGTGCTGCTGCTCCTCCCTTTCCTTTGGTTTAGTTCATTCTGTTCAGACAGCCCCCACCCTTTTATTCATTTCCCAGTAATGCATTTCAGCTTCTAGCCAAATGTCTTATGAACTAGATCACATTATGATCTTTTAAACTATCCGATGTTCATTGTTGTAAGATTCTCTCAGTTTATGGAATAAACTTCACAAGATCTACAAGGTGTCATCTGGATCGAGTCACTGCCTGTGTTATTCAACTAAGATTGAAGTTATCGCTATCTCATCACAAGTTAGAGAGATCACACTTTCAATGCTTAGATTGGAGAGAGAGAAGTGAGATCTGTGGTCCAGTTGGCCATTGAGAGTACAAGATCAAGAGTATTCTTCTCCTATTCTACGTTAATCGAAAAAACTATTGAAACATTTGGTCTTTAGATACAATTTAATGGAATGGCAAAGTGCTGAAGACTTAACTGCTGTCTGTATATGTAGGGCAGATCTCCAGCACTTTCCAGTGGTCACCACAAAGCAAAGATCTCTGCAATCAGGACAGACTGCAGTAAAAACCTAAGAGGTACTAGCCATCAATCCAGACTCTCGCAACCCAACATTGAGGAACCCTTGAAAAAACTTTGGGTTTGGAGAACCCCTGCCAATAATTCCTATATCCACACCTCACTGTACATTAGTGTGATGGTCATTAGGAGGAATGCTCCCTACTTTTGTAGTCACTGGGAGAAATGTTCCCTTACAGATAACCAATGACCACTTGTCAGTTACTCATCTGAGAGGCAGAAGGTGTTTTTCAATTAAACCTTAGCAACCTCTGGAGGAACCCTATGAGAAAGGCTACCTTACACACTATACAAAATGTTAAATTGTATGGTGAGCAAATCCCATCTACTAATAGATGGTGATTAGGCATTTTGCATGTGCCCAGTTCTGTAATGGCTGCCGACTGCTGTAAACTAGTGCCACTGAAGTTATTCAACCTCATTCTAATACAGATTTTAACTCCCATCAAAGTGAGTAAGTTGCCCATACCCTACAGCAAAGCATATTCAACATTAACCCACTAAAATGAGCAGATTTTAAAATTTACACTGCATCACAAAAAAAAAAAAAAAAAAAGTGCCATTCAGAATGGAGGTAGGCCTGCATCTTCTCACAGCACCGCATTTTTACTGCAGGTGGGGGGGGGGGGGGGATAGCGGTGATTCCCCCACCCACATAGATGTGAACCGAGCCTAACCTACATCTACTATATATGCTGACCCAATTCAGCTTTAAACTTCATCAATAGCAGAGACTGGTTACTGCATTGTGCAATCAGCCTAAACAGGGTTCAGTACGTTCCGAGTTGTTGGCTTCACATAGCGCCAATAACCCAACAGGATCTCTAGAATGAGTATATCCAATGTGTAGAATAGAGGAATAGAGCGATCTCAGGTTTAATTGAAGTATTGACCCCAGTGTCGAGATTTACCCCATGACCAAAGACAGAATCCTGGGAAAGAAAATTTTACAGATGTCACTGGAACACAACTGCAAGAACCAACTCAAACTGCAGATGCTGCTTGCCTTGAGACAGCATTTGCATGATAGAAATATCAGACTTGGCCATATTATGGAGGAGTCACTGTGATAACTCTTCACCTTCAAGTTATGGTCACAGGCTTTTTACAAAGCAAAAAAAGGGAGTCTGAAAATATTAAAAGGTGTCTAAAACCTTCACTGATGACATAGAAGAAAAAAAAAAAAAAAAAAAGTACAAACCACTGTGCAAGTTCTTTAAGAAACCTATGTGATCTTCCAGCAGGCTTGAAGGAGTACCTGTGTTAGTGACTGGATCAGGTTTTATTGCTGTATGTCTATGTGCCTGCTGGGGAGATTCATGCGATTCACCTCTAATAAATAAAACTGCATTAAAACAAAAAAAAAAAAAAAAAAAAAAAAAAAAAAAGGGGGGGGATTCACTTCTGCAGTAGCAACCAGAGAGAATTTTCCTTTTTCCTGTTGCTTTTGTTGTCGTCTACAGGACAATTGAATAAAACTCACCCTTATGTAACATATGGCAAAAGACCTGCTGTGGGTTTTAAACTCTCTACGCTATCCAAGTTAAAGTTTTAATCCCCTAAAAACTGTACAGATAATTATGCTTGGCACTGATGCAGGACAACTAGGTATGAAAATACATAAAAGTGCATAAATGGCCAGTATTTAATTTTAACTTAAAATTAGGTCTGCACTCCCATATCTATCACTAGTATTTAAAAAAAAAAAAAAAAAAAAAAAAAAAAAACTATACAGCGCCATCAAAAAAAAAAAAAAAAATAAAATTCCCATACAGTGCAAGTATCAAATGTGCATGATTAATAAACATACATGACACAAATTAAATGGCCAGTCCATAGACAACATTGGATGTGAAGAATGGCACTTTCCACTTTTGTGACATTCATTGCGCGAACGTTATATGGTGTATAGACCTACAGCTGACTACTTGATATTTCATCTGTTACATGTAATGTATATGTATTAATCATGCACATTTGATGTACTTGCTCTGTCTTGTGCACTATTTGGGAATTACATA